ATCTTGTTGAATGTGATGGAGTGTAGTAATTTTTTTTTTTGAATGGTTGAGTTTTTATTAAATCGTTACGACCAACACAGCTTCAACCTCCAAAGTTGAAGGTCTTCTCTTCTACTCCAAGCTCCCTCTCTTTAATGAAAGGAAAACTCTAACTCGTCTTCTCTCTTCTTGGGTGTTGGTAATTGAAATATAACCTCTTGCCTTTGAAACTCGACTTACTATCTATAGGCACATGAGTTTGGACTAGTTCACGGTTAGGGTTTGTTGAAGTTCACGGTCGTGAACTCAACGTGGAACCTGTGAACTCTGAAGTGATATCATTATTCCCTGAACATATTTGGAGATCATGATCTATGGTTCACAACTGTGATCTTTTCTAACGCGCGTGAACTCCAAATGACGGTATCTTTCGAATGTCGTCAGACTAGCTACTTCTCTCGACTATCTTGTTGCTAGAGTTCAGACCATGATCCCACAGATCACGATCGTGAGCATGTGCAACGCCTATGAACTCATATCACGACCGGATGATGATCTCGGTCGCGTGATCTATTTACTGAAGACCGTGAGTTTCCCTTCTTGCTTCTTCGTACACTTGTTGCCCAAAATCAAACTCCAATTCACCTAAACAATCACATTCATGCATAAACCTGCCCATATGCGATATTAAACAATCATATGCTAAAATCCAAGGCTTAAGAATCAATTAACCTAAACAAGAACATGAAAACTCTTAGATATGAAAGGCCTTAAAGTAACTCGGAGATTTCTACCTATCCCGTAAACTGGTTTTGATATTTGGGAAGATTAGGTAAAGTTGTTGTCTTCCGCTTTCATTCAATTTTTACATGTGGGAGAAAAGAAGGCAATAATGGAGGATGAGTGACTCGCCATTATTTGCTTTGATGATTCAACGAAAAAAGATGAATGCACCAATTTTTTATACATATTGGATGTGACACTCCAAAACATATAAGGGTAGTTTGCTTGTTGGATTTGGCTCATGAATTTGGTACCCAAATTCCAAGTTTGATGGATTTAACATAAGTCCATTGTTTGTTGAAGGGTGCTAAATTCGTGGGGTCCACGGATTTGGTCTTTATTTTGGAACCAAATTCGTGGACCCCACGGATTTGTAAATCCCACATATTGATTTGGGATTTGCAAATCCTTGATGGTTAGTTTTTTATTTAACAAATCCATCATCAAATCTATTAGGCAAACATTAGACTCTTCAAATCCATAATCCAATAAATCCAACATAAATCCCAAAGTTTTTATTGGCCAAAACACTTATTTTTCAAATCCAACAAGCAAATAACCCCTAAATTCCTGGTACCATTTTGAACATATAATAAAGCATAAGAACCGAAAGAAAAGGCCCAATGAAATGATTCGACCTGCCCATACCAAACAAGTGAACAACCAACCAACATGAAGAGTGAATTGCGAATTGGGTTTTCTACTTTTCCAATGATTCTGAAGAAACTCCAAAACAAGAATCAGCACCACCTTCAAATCACAAGTCTATCAAACGTATTGGCGCTATACATCAACCAATTACATGTTTTCAGCAATTCTTGGGACAAAGTGAAAATAGTGCAGCAATGCCTTACTCGTTTAAACATGTACTACGTCTTGGTTCAGTAAAAGTGAAAATTGATGGGACAAAGATAAAATCAACATAAAATTTGTTAGACTCGTTAAATCAATGTAAATATAGTATCAGAATATTTATGATTAGTTTTCTGTCAGTAATTCGAGTTATTGAAATTAATTAGTTTATAAAATATAATTTTAGCTGTGGAGTTTTAACTATGAGATGTCGTGTTAATCGCATATGGTGTGACACGAATGGAGAACGATATAAGATTCTTTATTATTAGATGCTCACAACAACTAATAGCAGAGTGGATCGAGTTCATACGGTTTTGATCGATGAATCTATGTAGGATAATAAACATGTGGGTGCGCCTATGGTGTCTGTAAGTCACAGTAACTTGCACTTTTCGTTCGACCTCAGTTAGGATTAGGTCAACCTAATATGTTGTTTCAATGTAAATACAGTTTTATGGTGCCTACTTTGGAGATTCATATCTTACAATTGGCTCGACGGAAATTGGAGATTAATGGCTTGTTTTGAATATGGAGTGTCCCTCTACACATTGAAGTGCTTGGGAGCTCGATAGGAAGTCCAGAAGACCATTTTTGAACCTGATCAAAAGGCTATGCCAAACTGGGAAACTACCTGAAAATGACTAAGTTTTGGAACGTGTTTGTTAAGCCTAATTTGGAGCTCAATTCGAGAAACATGGATGAGATTCGAGTCCAGGGGTCTCTACAACATGAAAGTAGGTATGTTTGTCTGCAAAGGCAAGGCATTGGATGAAAAATTGGATATCTGGAAGGCTTCAAACAAAAGGTTCGAAGTTGCTACAAAGTAAGTTGCCTTCTAAATAGAGATCAAAGTACTGCTTCAATTCAATTTGCATCCATGATGAGTCGTCAGTGGCTCCACACTTACCTTTTTCTCTTTTTTTATCACTATATCACTTTTAAATAAGAGGTACAAACAAAGCTTCGTAGGCTTACAACAGAATCATGTGTACTACGAAACAAAGAAACAAAGTCGAACCTCAAACAAATGAGGCGACAAGAAGAGAGCATGAGTGGCCACCGAATGAGCCGCTCTGTAACCATGGAAACCATCGAACCCAAAAAGTACAAACTATGGCAGTCGCAAAAACAACCTGAATGTCTAACCCATGCAATGAGCAAAGTCCACCATAGCAGCTTGAGTTGCAAAAGCCTTGATCCAAAAGAAAACCTGAATAATCAACCCGGCGAAGCCATTATTCGTTGTCCAAAGCCGCCACAACAAGTATACTACCTGTAGAAGAAAATAACTTTTCCATCCTACAAGGGAAGAACAAAAGCATATAGACTTTGTAAGGAAGAGATCCTTCCCTCAAAAAGGATAGCCACCCATCAATAGGAGGGGAGTGTGCATGGAGGACACCCACGACTTCCTCAAAATCATCAATCGTGGTTGCGATCGAGATGCTCAATTCTTGAGCATCGAAGACACGACGGCGACCAGAATGCAAAGCATTGAAGCAAGGCAGAAGAAACAAACCTCCATCCACTCCGCATGCGTGGGTGATGCCCACGGCTACTGAAGCACACGAACAAAGGAATCAGAACAAGGGAAAACGAAGAACATATTGAAATTACCTGCTTCCCCTCCCAACCTTTGTTTTCGAGACTTATGCGTCGATCTGTATACAAGCATGGGTGATACCCGTAGCCAGTGGCGGAGCCACTTAGGGTTAAGGTAGGTCATTTGCACCACCTTGGCTCAAAACTATAGTAATTTTTTTTATGTAATTGTGGGTTGGATAGATAATCTCCTTATCATTGTAATAATTTTATGAAAAAGTAATATTTTGTGATCTCTATTTAACTTCTGATTAATATATTTTCCAGCTGACTTTTTTAATATAAACGAAAACTCAAAACTTATTGGTGTTTGTTGCTATTGGTTGCCATCAAAGTAGTCAAAAGCGCGTTTCTACGTAGAAGCGTTTTGATGATTTTGAAGCGCAAAACCGTAAGCTTTTAAGATTTAAAGTGCAGTTTTCAACTAAATTAGTTATTATAACTGTGATTATGCGTAGAAGCGTTTTGGTAACCTAAAAGCATAAAAAACTTAAGTTTTTAAGCTTTAAACCGCAATTTTGACTATATTAGTTGTCATTGCAAGTGTTGAAAGAATCCTTACAACAATGAATAACATAAAAAACACTTTTAGAATTAGATGAGTGATGATATCATGAATCATTTTTCGCAAAATAACTTAAGAATGACATCCATCATAATTTGCATGTAATTTTTAAAAAAATTCAATATACGAAAATGCATCCTAAAATTTTATTTTTTTCTCATATTTGACCTACCTTAAGTGAATTCCTGGCTACGCCACTGCTCGTAGCCACGTGATTACCCGAAAAGAGGAATCGGATAAAGGTCCGTTGGAGAACCGCCCCATCGCCGATAACCGCTCCCGAACCGTCAAGAACTCCATCGGAACCGCTTACAACTTGCCTTTTTCTCCATTGCAAAGGGTCAGGCTCGGCCAGTTTTTATGCTGGGCTTCAGCTTTGGGCTCCAGATCTTCGGTTCATCTGAGAATAGCATTCTTACACTCCATATATTGAGCCCAATTATGCTAGCAACAACTCTGTGTCAGCAGAAGCCCAATTATGGGCACTCTGAATCTTCCGAAAGTATGGTATGGTCAGCCCTTATCTATCTTCAGCATTCATTTCATTTGAGGATGGGTGATTTGTAGCTCATTGGTAATCCAACCTCGAACTACATAGAATCTTGATATATGATTTTGCTTTAAATTGAACGTTCACTTTTTTTTTTCTTTTTTGAGGGGCACTTATGCAATAATCTAGGTTTATTTTTTTGACTTAACACTTTAGATTAGTTTGGAGAAGTTTAAGTGTAAGGTTCATCGGAAAGCATATTGAAGTCATTTTCTCAGGTTTGGTGTATGATAGAAGTATTTGTGCAGTTGTGTCTAAGGGAATATCACACATTCAACAATCAAGGGGATAAAAATATATCTCAATCTCAATATTACTTAAACAACACGTTACACAAATCAACTTGTACAGCCGACCGAACTCAAATGTAATTACAATTACACTCCTAAAGATCTAAATTAGCCATGCTCATCAACTCTCTGATTACATCTTCTATATTTTGCTCCATTTGTATCCTTGTCGTATCTCTTTATCTAATAATAATGTTTTCTTTCATTATTTTGCCAACAAAGAAGCTCTTAGATGCCCTTGGATTGATCTCTAATCTACATGGTAGATACTAATCCTTGTCTAAATTAATGATATCAGTGTTTAAACTTTACTGCAATCCTGACTGAAAGAGAAAAGCTCTTGGAGTATAGGGAACCGAAACCGGATATTCCGAGTCATCAAAATAAAATTAAAAAAAATAAGCAAAATGGTAGCAAGAAAATCAGAGGTCAATCGTTTCCTAGCCAAACTAAACGGCTCTCATCCACTCTTCCACTTGATCACTCTATCCCCAATCTAACCGTCGCCTCATCGCCTTTTCTCGTCCCCTCCCCCGTCACCGGCGGCCGCCAAGAAACCGTCCACCCAAAATCATCCAAACTTTCAAAGGGCCAAATCACATCGCACATCTCATTAAATCCACAAACCCACCAAAAGCTAAAACAGAGACAACCCGAACGCCACACACTCACCCACCACTCTCCCTTCTTCCTCCTCCTCCACTAGCAGCCATGGCGGCTTCGGCTTCTTCTACATTCTCCCAATCCCTTCTCTCCCGCGCCATACCCAATCACTCCGCCGCCGCCCACAATTCGGCTCTCCCGCCTCACTCCCTCTCCTTCCTCTCCGCCGTCAAACCTTCCCTCCCTTCCGCCAGAGCCGCCGCATCCTCACGCCGCCGCTCGACCCGATCGAGCTCCTCCCCAGCCGTTGTCCGCGCGGCCGCCGTGGAGACTCTGCAGAAGACCGACACCGAGTTGGTGGAGAAATCGGTGAACACGATAAGGTTTCTGGCGATCGATGCCGTGGAGAAGGCGAATTCGGGCCACCCGGGTTTGCCCATGGGTTGCGCCCCGATGGGTCATATATTGTACGACGAGGTCATGAGGTATAACCCCAAGAACCCTTACTGGTTCAACAGGGATAGGTTTGTTCTGTCGGCTGGACATGGATGCATGTTGCAGTACGCCCTGCTTCACCTTGCGGGCTACGACGCCGTGAGGGTATGAGTTCTGACTTTTTTTTTTATTATCTCATTTCCCCTTTTGGTTAGATTAGATTGGAATTTGGATTAGTATATTAGAGCCATCTGTTAGCTTTTGAATTTTTATAATGTGGAATGGAAGACGGGTTTTGTTTCCTGGTGGTCCTTTTTAACTTCTGCAATTGTGGGATGGCTTGATGATTTCAGGAGGAAGATTTGAAGCAATTTCGTCAATGGGGAAGCAAGACCCCTGGCCATCCAGAGAACTTTGAGACACCTGGAGTTGAAGTCACCACTGGTTTGGATTGGAAACCCTTTTCTTTGTTGTAGTTAGCAGCACCACTGAATTGAAATTTTATGCTATCTGAGTCTTCAGGAATCATGGGTTGCTTTTGGTTTCCCCTTTTGCTGTAGGTCCTTTGGGTCAGGGAATTGCCAATGCTGTTGGTTTGGCACTTGCTGAGAAGCACTTGGCTGCAAGATACAACAAACCTGATGCTGAGATCGTTGATCATTACACGTAATATGATTCGATTGAACTCTTGAATGTCTTTGGTAATGTAATGGTTGGTCTGTTGGATTGAAATGACATATAGATAGATGTTTTTTTTTCAAAGGTATGTGATCCTTGGAGATGGATGTCAAATGGAAGGAATCGCGAATGAGGCATGTTCCCTTGCCGGTCATTGGGGACTCGGCAAGCTCATTGCTTTCTATGACGACAATCACATCTCGATCGATGGAGACACAGAGATTGCGTTCACTGAGAATGTAGATGCTCGTTTCGAGGCACTCGGGTGGCATGTGATATGGGTGAAGAATGGCAACAATGGGTATGATGAGATCAGAGCTGCCATTGAGGAGGCCAAGGCTGTCAAGGACAAGCCTACCATGATCAAGGTTAATGTTTTTGTTTTCACAGTTTTGATTATACTTACTAGGAGTTGTTGTCTTGTCCTTTTTTTACTGATTGCTTAGTTATGACAATTACAGGTAACTACTACCATCGGTTTCGGGTCACCAAACAAGGCAAACTCATACAGTGTCCATGGAGCTGCATTAGGTACTAAAGAAGTCGAAGCCACGAGGCAGAACCTCGGCTGGCCCTACGAGCCATTCCACGTCCCAGAGGATGTTAAGAAGTAAGAAGGATGCAAGATGGGATCATTTCTCTTCATGGTTTCAGAACATGAAAAGTGCCCAACCTTGACTCAATGCTGTTTTGTTTGTGCTTCCCCTACAGGCATTGGAGTCGACACACTCCCGAAGGAGCAGCATTGGAAGCCGAATGGAATGCCAAATTCGCCGAGTACTCAAAGAAGTACCCAGAGGAAGCAGCAGAATTGAAATCCATCACGACCGGTGAATTCCCCTCCGGTTGGGAATCAGCACTGCCAACATACACCCCCGAGAGCGCTGCAGACGCAACACGAAACCTCTCGCAACAAAACCTGAACGCACTCGCCACCGTTCTCCCCGGTTTCCTTGGAGGAAGTGCTGATCTCGCTTCCTCAAACATGACGCTGATGAAAGCCTACGGCGACTTCCAGAAGTCCACTCCCGAGGAACGAAACCTCCGGTTCGGAGTACGTGAACACGGCATGGGCGCCATCTGCAACGGGATCGCGCTCCACAGCCCAGGATTCGTCCCTTACTGTGCCACATTCTTCGTCTTCACCGACTACATGAGAGGAGCCATGAGAATCTCAGCATTGTCGGAAGCAGGAGTGATCTACGTGATGACCCACGACTCAATTGGGCTTGGAGAAGATGGGCCGACCCATCAGCCCATCGAGCACCTGGCCAGCTTCAGGGCAATGCCGAACATCTTCATGTTCCGACCGGCCGACGGGAACGAGACCGCCGGAGCATACAAGATCGCAGTGGAGAATCGAAAGACGCCTTCCATTCTCGCCCTCTCGAGACAGAAGCTTCCCCAGCTTCCGGGAACATCGATCGAGGGAGTCGCCAAGGGCGGTTACGTGATCTCCGACAATTCGACGGGGAACAAACCGGATGTCATTCTGGCCGGAACAGGTTCGGAGCTGGAGATTGCTGCCAAGGCCGGTGATGAGCTGAGGAAGGAAGGGAAGGCGGTTCGTGTCGTGTCGTTGGTGTCATGGGAATTGTACGAGAAGCAGAGTGATGAGTACAAGGAGAGTGTTTTCCCAGCGGGTGTAACGGCCAGGGTCAGCATTGAGGCTGCAACAACTTTTGGGTGGCAGAAGTTCGTCGGGGACAAGGGGAAAGCCATTGGTATCGATAAGTTCGGTGCGAGTGCTCCGGCGGGGAAGATCTACAAGGAGTATGGATTGACAGTAGAGGCAGTGATTGAAGCTGCAAAGTCGTTTTTCTGAGCGCCCTCATGAACCAATGTACACTTTGGATGTTGGAGGAAATGTTCTCCCCTGGTTTCTTGGCACGAAACGTTTCAGACGACCGAAATGCAATCATCAGAAAAGACGGGACTTCTGCGAGGTCAGGGGGAGCCATTCTTTCGTGGAGAAATAAAGAACTGGAGAATTGTTTAGTGATAGAAAGAGCTCTCTCTGCTTCTTCAGTTTGGACTTGGATTGGTGGAGTAGGTTTTCTTATCTTATGAGTTTGTTGTTGAACAGGATGAGACTGTAATCTCTCTGATTTTGTAGAGCTGTTGAGACTACTGATCAATGGTGGGTGTTGTACCACTGTTCCTGAAATCGTACTGGCAGATCGAATCACCGTGATTGATCGCTCAAGATCTAACCCATGTTCTGTCTGCATTTTAAGCCGAAATTCGATACAAATCGGACCACAGTGGCCTACTGTAAGTGTTATGCTCTTGAATTGGTGAGATACTTTCCCAATGGGGGGAGATGAGATTGAGATATGCTTTCTTTACATGTCTGGAGACTGGAAGAAGCAAAGCATATTCCTGCATTGAAGCCATTGATAGAGAGGACCCAATCAGGAAGAGGCTTTGATGGGCCATTGTCTTTGTCTTTAACGTTAACGCCGATGCCATTCTTGATTCTTCTCCTCTAAAAAGTAGGTCGCAGACAGCAAACACCCTTTGGCCTTTACCTTCAAACTTGAGGAGGCTCTTCTTCTTATCTTCAACTTTCATGGAGCCAACTTGCAAATTTTGCGTCTCCTTTCCCTTTTTTCTCAATTACAAACCCTGTTAGCAAAATCCGTTACATGAGTGTTTGGAAGACCTTATCTCAGGTTCTTTGTTCACACTCTTTAGTGATCCAGGTATGTGAAATGTTTGCAATCCTTGTTCGAGCTCTCTGGTGAACCTATATCGAAACCTACTCAAATCAAAATGTGTTATGCTCTCTTGAGCCCCGACCTGCCACATACCCCTCGAGTCTTTCCCGGAAGAGTTGGCTTGGTGCATCAAACTTGTTGTAGCCAAGGTTTCACCCATTTCAAGCAATGCAGTCAAAATTGTGTTTTTAAAACTTAAAAATTTACAATTTTACTATGCTTTTAAGTCACCAAAATGCTAGTGATGACAATTTTTGACCTGGTTCGCTCGATCCGACCCGAGCTGAACTATTTGGGACGGATATTACCCGACCTACAATAGCGTGAGACAGGGCTTGGGTATTGGTTTCGACCCGTTCCGTCTTGTTCTTGACCCGTTCTTTCATAATTTGCATTAATATCTGCATGTACTGATCTTCTTTTAACCTCTCTAAAAATGATATCTTCATCCCACATAAATTTTAAGATTATATCTTTCAATTATTTAGACTCAATAATTCCTTCTACTATATTTATCATTTATTTATAAAGTGTTTTTCTCTGTATTCGAGTTACATATGGACGTTCTTTTTCGAATATAATATTTAAGAATAGATCGACATGTTCTGTCCCATACCCACACGGGTATTTACCCAACCTGATTATGAAAGGATTGTATATGACAACTTCATGGTTGCGATGTTCTATAACAGGGTTGTTCTCAGGTTTGAACTCCATGTATCAAGTTCAGTCCTCGGCCATTGGATCGGAAACAGGGAGGAAGATGGGTTCACTGCCGACGAGAGAGAGAGAGAGAGGATCAGATACAGCTCAAGCTGAGAGAAAGAGAGCAAAGGCAGTCGGTGGTCCTATCCTATCCCTGCACGTGAACCCACAACGCAAGAATCCATGGGCTGGCAGCTTGCTATATTTTTGTAAATAAATACTACTGTCTCTATCTCCATTTTTTTTCCTTTTATTTTCTTGTGGTTTCTTTCTTCCAAGTTATGCTTTCCCGAACCCAGTTCAGATTCGGCCCAAATGTCCCTTCTCTCTTCATTTCCTTGCACGAGATCACTCGAATTCCGAGTCCATACATCGATGTTTGTTAATGTATAATCATAAGTCGACGTGAATGTATATCGAATGAATCAGAATTAAGGCACAATTTGCCATATCACAGGCTTCCTTCAAGCAAGGTATGCCCCGCATGTTCGACGCCAATTCTGCGCTAAAGTGCCAAAAGTTGTTGCGAAGAACGATTCAGTATACTCACCAATTTAATGCGGTCAAAATCGCTTTTAAAAAACTTTTAAAACTTTTACGATTTTCGTTCATCAAAACGGACTTCTACGCAGAATCGCAAATTTTCTAGTTACAAGTTTTCTCAAAATCTATAATTAAAAACTTACGATTTTATGACGGTTTTGAACGTCTTGCTCACCGTACAGTGTATTTCAACAACGGCTTTTGCCTTCCCAAGCTACTACCAGTGGCGGATACATGGGCCTTTAGGGGTGTCCCAGGACACTTCTAAAATTTAGAAAAACGATTATCCACCCCCTGGTTGTAGTTTCGTATGGATAAAAAAAAAATTATAATTGGTAATCCAGGACACCCTTAAATTTTGAAAAAACAATTATCCTGTTCTCGGTAGTAGTTTGCGTATGATTAAAAATATATAAGTAGTAATCTCTGTGTTATTCAAACCTAGGACACTACTATTATTAAACATATTCTCTAGGTTGCAACTCATTTGTTGTTCTATTTTAAACACTATGTAATAGTTAAAACACTATTCTTTATTCCCAATTGTTTTCAAAACCTAACAATTAAATTCATTCGAGATATCCTTAATTTGAATTGATTTTATAGGTATATTGCAAGAGTTGAAAGAGTCTTCCAAGTTTGAGTTACATCAGGAACAAGGTTAAAAGGAGGCAGCAGTGGGGAATTTTCCGCAATGGGCGAAAGCCTGACGGAGCAATGCCTCCAACTCGTGAACTTAGCCGGTACAAAGCTATACGCTCCGTCCCTCGGGACCAACAAGGGGAAATCAAATATGCGATCAGTTCGTGAATTATTGTCTAATATGGTATATTTGCACTAGTCGAATATTTTTGGGTTAATACCCTAATTTGGCCCGAAGTTTAGCGTAAATGACAATTTTGGCCCCACTTTTTAAATAAGACATTTATGGCCCACTTTTGAAATTATTAGACAAATTTGGCCTATGGGATGGTTTGACTGTCAGAATTAACGGTCAACCATTTTTTCTGTCACTGACTCACCATTCGTCCGCTGACTAGACTTGTCCACGTCATTTACAAATTAAATAAACAAAAGAAAATAATAATAACAAAAGAAAAAACAAACAAACAAAATAAAAAATAAAAAAATAAAGCATTAGAGAGAGGGGTCACGAGGACCACTACCTCTTCCTCTTTCCCTTATCGTTTCAGTTCCCCTTTTCCTTTCATCCATCGTTTCTCCTCCCCGAGTCGTTCCCGAGCGATCGGCGACGAGAGTCCATTCCATCTCTCCTTCTTCTCAGTCTTCTCCCTCCTTCTCTCTGCCCGACCAAACCCAATTGCAGTTTCAATCGTGACCTCGATTCCTTTCCATCGATAGCTCGTCTAGCCGGCGAAAGAGAGAGATTTCGGTTCGTCAAAGGAAGGTATTGATTGCCAGAGAATCAGCCTTGGGTTTTCGATTCGCCGATAGCTAGAGCAGAACAAGAACTGGTGAGTTCGGTCTCCCTTGAATCAGCTTTGGGTTTCCAGTTTTCGATTCATCTAGAGAAGAAAAGGCGACATGAACTGGAAGGGAAGATTCAGTTACAAAGTGACAAAATTGAAGAAAAGGAAGCGAATGGCGACGCCGACAAAAGGCAGGGGAGAGGTGGCTTCCTTCCAAATCGAAGTTCAGATCTGAACGAAAGGCCAAGCTCGGTGGCGGCGCGAACTTTCGGAATAGGCGAATCTCGCCTCCTCTTCCTCAGAGAGAACGCGAACGTCGAGCCCGGTGGCAACGCAAAATGTTTCGATGAGCTTGGCTCCGTTGGCAGCCTCCTGGACGGCTGAACTGGTGGCGCAGCTGGTTCAGCGAGGATTTTGGCGTGTGGAAGGGAAGGATGAGTCGGCCGAACAGTGTTTGGTCGGACGGAGAGAATAAGAGGGGTTTTCTTAATTTGTTAAAAATATGTTACTGAATCATAAAATTAAAATTAATATATTATTTAATGACGTGGCATGCCACAACAGTTGGTTTTTGTTGAGTAACTGACGCAATATTGTTGACCGTCAATACTAACGGTCAAAGAAAATTTTGGGCCAAATTTGTCTAATAGTTTCAAAAGTAGGCCACAAATGTCTTATTTAAAAAGTGGGATTAAAACTGTCACTTACGCTAAACTTTGGGCCAAACTAGGGTATTAACCCAATATTTTTTTATTTATGAATTATTTAATTTAATTTTTAATTAAATTTATTTTTTGGAAGAGGACACCCTTATAAGAAATTCCTGGATCCGCTACAGACTACCACATCCATGATATCTTTTAAGCTTCAACAATGTGATTTGAAGCAAGAGTGAATTTTGTTTGGCGGACAGGAGAGTGAAATAAAAAGGCACAATAGGGCAGTTTGGGGCACATGGACAGAGTGGTGGGACGGTGCATTGCCTTTCGGGTTTCCGTTTTATTATCTATCAGCCATCCCACTACTCATCTAATCTATCTAATCCAGCTCATTTTATCATTTTAAATAGTGGAAATCTAAATTGAAATAAAAAATAGTTTATAATATTCGTATGTCATATATGATACAAGTGAATTGTAATTAATTTTCCGAAGAAGAAAAAAACACAATAACCTAGCTTTCATCGTTAGTTGATCCCGTGTGTTTCATATCATATTATATAACAAAATTTTAGAGTCTAACCATTCTATAATACATAACTAGATATGTCAGCTCGAGCTCGTCTCATTTTATATCCTAACATTTGTATGTCATATATAATGCATGTGAATTATTATTAATTTTATGGAAAACAAAATAATAGCCAATTTTTCATCATTAAATGATCCAATGTTGACATACTATGCTGATATCAAATTATTTAGTTAATAAGTTGTAATTAGTTTATATCATGTTATTTTATAGTAATTTGTATTTAACCATTCTATGATACATAATCTATCTTCTTAATTATAAATTAGATATATTTGCTCACATACTCAAAGTCTTAAACATCATATATGGTGAGAACTACAATATAACAAATCTAGAAATTATCAACAAGCCAACTCACAAGATACATATCGATATACATTCACAAATCGCTAGTTGAGTTGTTTGCTAGCCACGCTACCAAGCCAACTCAAAGTCTTAAACATCATATATGGTGAGAACTACAATATAACAAATGTAGAAATTATCAACAAGCCAACTCACAAGATACATATCGATATACATTCACAAATCGCTAGTTGAGTTGCTTGCTAGCCACGCTACCAAGCCAACGCTTCAGTTAAAAAAAAAAAGACAATTCACGAGGTGATCTCAACACATCAATAAATCAAGTTAGCGCATGGTCTCGCGTGTTAAACAAAATCTAGTCAACCCTCTACTTAGGGGTGAAAATCGGTACGGTATTGGTATCCCAACACCAAATACTGAAATCCCGAATACCGAATTACACCCTAAAATCAATACCAATCCCAAACCCTAGATAAATTTGGTATCCCAATCTTCTCTAAATATTTTGCTTTCCCAATCGGTATTGTCAGTACGGTATTTGCAATTAATAATTAAATATATTAATTAGAGTATGCAATCTAATTTTCGAGCAAAAATACTAAGCAAAAGGTTTTGAGTTCGTCTAGAGTTAGGACATGGATAAGGAGAAGGGAGGAGATGGTGACATTTCAATTTCTTGTCATTTGTAATCTTTAATTCGACGGATTGGAGGGCGAGAGATGACTAATGAGAGTGTATGTGTTTTTGGTTTATGAAAATAAAAAGAAACTGAGTGAGAGACAAGTGACTCAAATTAGAAATCAAATTTCAGTTGGATGTGAGCTTGTGAGTTGTCGAAGAGTGAGGAACGAATGACCAACGGTTGTGTGCTATAGTTTATTCATTTTTTATTTTTCGGGTTTTATTGGTATTGTGGTATATACCGATTCCAATCACATAATCTCAATTACCGAATAACACTGGAAAATGAATCCCTGTCCCGATCCCTAAGAAATAATTCGATATTCGGTATTACTATATAGTGATAATTTCAGTACGGTATTCGATATATATACCAAATACCAGTACCAAACTTTCAGCCCTACTTCTACTCATTAGCAAGTGAGCCAAACATCCGCCCGTTCGTGAGCAACTCGACTCGTTCACATTCACTTACGACTTAAAAAAATTGTAATTTCAATAATCCGCAAACCAGACTTCCACCCCTACTTACGAGCATTGTAATTCAATTACAGTCAACACGTTCTTGGATTGTCATCCCAGCAGTCGCATCCCCATTGTCTGTCAGATCTTGGCTCTTTTCCCGGTTTTCTCCTCCCCTCCCTAATATATATATATAAATATATATATACAATTACCTTTTTGGCTCCACTCTTGGCTTGTGTAGCTGTGGGTTAATTAGTCACATGGTGAAGTGGCGGTGGGCAGCTGGCAAATTTCTTTCCAGTCCCCCCCCGCAAAATAACAAAAACAAAGCTATCAAAACGTGGGAATTGGGTCCCTCCCTCCCCAACTAGACACGTTATTCCCTCCGGATAGTGACTTTCTCCTCTCCCGTTTTGATTCCTTTTTTACCCCACCACAGGTTAAAAAAAACAATCATTTACTTATAGGATTAAATTATTCTATTAGCTCTAAACACAAATTTGATTGAAATTACGATACCAAATTTCGACCGCACTGGGAATTTTTTTTTTTTTTTGGGAAGCAATCAATCATATATTCATAGGTGGGATAGAGAATATGGTCCACACGTTATATATTATGCCAAACACTATATCATTAATTATTATTTTTTTTCATTTTTTGCGCCTTCCTTGTGGGACATGTTTAATTAAATTTGATGCTCACCGGAAAAAGAAGAAAAAAAAAACACAACCAAGACCAACAAAGCATTTTTACAGACATCAATTATTGAGAGAAAAGAATAAAGCTAACATGGGCCCACACGCCAGCCCGGCCCACACAAGCCATCAAATCTCTGGTTTCTCTGTTATTTACTTATTTATTAACCATCCTCACTCCCACACTTTCTCCTCCTACCCTCAACTGTGTCGCCATTTC